CCCCCCCAGCGGAGCACGAGCGCCCGGCAGGGAACGTTGATTGTTTTGTTAACGCGATTATTTAACGAGAGTCTACCGCGTGAAATCGCATTAAGAGAAATAGAATCCGAACGCTTAGCGCGTGTTAAAACGGGCCGCGGAGTCTGCCACGCGGACGACGGAATTGAAAAAAATACGCGCGGCGTGATAAATGCAGAGAAACTAACTTTCACCACCTGTCATACACAGTGACACACACTGTAATTTCAAACAGAGTTTTTGTAGTGGTCCATGGTTAATTTACTTTGCCGCAGTTTGCGAATACAGAAGAGCGCAAATTTAGTAAATAGGTAAAATTCGAACTGTTGCTGGGGTGTAGCTTTGTTTGGAGTGGTTAGTCCATCCATGGACGTTCACTTCAGAAATCCTGTTTCGCATTTAGGTGAAATAACATGTAATTGCCTAATGATAACAGAGTTTTCGACGGAATTTTGGAGTTATCTGCGGATTATTCTACATCTCTTTCCAACGCAACATAATTATCGTTCAGACCATTATTGCTTTTGGTTGTTCAAAGTTAAGATACAATCAGCCAAAACTCTAGCTTTAACTACTTTGACATTAAATAGGAATACTTCTTATACTACGATGAAATATTTCCGGGGGGTAAATTTTAGTTCAAGCTATCTGAATTTTTCATTAAGTCCTTAAATATTTTCATTAAGTCATAAATATTAAAATGTCAAAGTTTCTAAAACAATTAACCCTTACAATTATTATAATGATCAGACCTTGATCTACAGACGTATCTTAAAAACTTTCTAGATCAAATTAATGGTAAATAAAATAAATAGTCTATACGTAGATACAGATGGCTATGTGCTAATCACACGTAGCCTCTTAAATTTACTGTTGCAAGGCCGGGACACTGCTGGTAGGCCTTAGCTCCTAAAGAGCTGTTGTGCCAAAATACAATACATACATACATACATACATACATACATACATACATTACATACATACATACATACATACATACATACATACATACATACATACAGGCTCGCTACTTCTAAACAGCAGAAGGACGAAAAAATCTTAATATATTCATCATACGTTTTATAAAATGTTGTGTTCTCTAGATAATTTTAGAGGGAAATATCTGAAGAGATAAGAGGAGTATGTCTGAGACATACTTTAAGAACATTAGACAGAGGAGTAAGTTAAGTCCTAAAGAATTCCACTATATTGCCGCCAGGGACCAATTCGAGCAAGTCACTGCTTATTTATAAATTCTAAAAGAGGAAAAAAAATAACTTACCGAATGTGGAGTCTGTGCTACTCAGTGCTTCTTTCCTCGTTGAGTCCGGTGGTCTGAAACAAAATGTAAAGCACATATAATGGAATTGCCTTTGAAAAGTCAAAAGGGAAAAAATGACATTTTTCAATCAAAGATTACACAAACAATCTTAAATTTTATTTCTATTAACCTATAATTGTATAAATACTTTACAATTTAAACTTATTAAAAGTTATTCAATATCTATTTATGAAGATTTTTGTTGGATATTGACGTACTATACTGTGATATTTTCCCTGAGTGGACGGGCACTTCCGATTTGGATAACATCTATCCTTCCATCCAAACTCTCCCTTTCGAACAATGGGTTGTTTGGCCTGGCAGGATACGGGAGGGTTCTTGGTGCCATAATAATCTAGTAAGTATGTACAGATCGCGTGACGTGCCGTTCAGTGAGTGTTGTTGTAGGTGAGAGGCAGTTTCCACATCATCACTAAATACGTCTTAGACAATGGTAATCCATGGCAGTTATATATATATATATATATATATATATATATATTGGCAGTTGGCAGGTTGGTAGGTACTAGGGAGTACCACACAGCCCAAGATCAAGTTAGAGTCGCCAAGATTAGTTAGAAATTATTCGCAACGGCGCGGTTCCTTACTCATCGACTAAGCTATCTCATTTTATTTGTCAGAAATGAGAATCAAAATAATTTCTCACATGATTTAACAGTCACGCAATTGTCGTACGTGTATTTTGAACATATCTGAAGTTTTGCAGAATTTAAATGTTGTTTACAGTGATTAGTCCGCGTGATTGATAACGAAGATATTTCGGTCTCTTCTCTAGTGTAGGTTTCATAATCTCTCAATAGAATAAAATATTTATGTAATTTAATTTGTAATTGTAATTTAATATGTAATTTAATTTTCTGAAAAAAAATCTTAGAATAATTCAAAAAACGCAAACCAATATTCAGCGTTACTTAGAAAATTCAAATAATGCACTTTTTAAAAATGTACTTCAATTCTATAACTCCACATTTTAATCTTTTTCCCTCGTAATATCACTTTTGGCTCTCAGTAAGTTCATTGTCCATTGCGTGATTTTCGCGAAACTTCAATCGTGTGTGAACCATTTCTCAGTACTAGTGTATCATTTAAGCAAACAACCGTTTATTCAACAGACGCACTTAAAAACTCATCAGCGAATGAACATTTAGCAGCAACTGACAGATCACAGAGCAGATTCATACAACGACCCCACCCCATATGAAACACGCAATACCGTTACCTACGCATACATTTCTAGCACCGTTTCCCACTACAATTAATGACGGTTAACGAACAGACCTTCCTTAACGCCCTGACGCATGGGGACGACGGTCTATAAACGTCCGCGCAAAATTATGGCGCCATTTTCGTCCCTGTCCGAACGCGGTCCCGCGGGGACGGGCGGCGCCCCCGATTCCAATCCCGTTACGCGCTGCGCGCATTCCCGCTTCAAATATTTGAACGATCCGAACGCAAGACCAAACATTTATCGACCTATTCATCGCAAAGCTTTGTTAAAAATGCAAAATTATCAGCGCCCGGCGCGCGGCCCGCGGCCACGCGATGGACACGCCCGCGCGCGCGCGGCCGCACACGCATACAGCACGCGTGCGCGCGCGTGGGAGGGGGGCGCAGAGCGCGACCCGACGACGCTCGGGTCACCCCACACTTATTATTTTAATTTTCTATTTGACGGCGCTAATTCAGTTTTAAACAGTTACAAATAATGCGAGTTCGAATGCACGGTAAACACATTAATTATTAATGAACGGATTAGGCGAAACGACGTCGAAGGAGGAGGGGGAGGGACGGCGGAAATAGGGTAGAGAAGGAGCGAGGAGGGGATGAAAAGAGAAAGGGACAGTAGAGTGAGAGAAAGAGAGTTACAAGATGGATAATGGAAAGACAATAATGGGACAGCAGAGAAGGGAGATGGAAAAGTGGAAGGGCAGAGAAAATATGAAACATTGAAGAATGGAGATAGATACACAAATAGATAGATAGATAGAGATGGAGAGAGAGAGGGGAGGGAGAGAATATGGGTTGTGTGAAGAAAAAGTAAGAGAAAAGGAGTAAATGGACTAAGAAAGGGAACAGAATGAACAGAAATGAAGGGAGGTAAATCGAAAAACAGAAGGGATGGCGGGAAGAAGAAAGAAAAAGTTTGGTAAAAGAAGAAAAAGCTAGAAAATGGAGAAGAAGAAAATGAAAAATCATTGCAAAGGAAGTGAAAGAGAATTTTGAGAAAAGGAGAGGATAGGAAGAGAGTGGAGTAGTGTAAGGGGAAAAACGAAGAAGGAGGGGGATAAAGAGGATAAGAATCCAAAGAGGTAAATGGGAAGGGGAAGGGCGGAGCGAGGAAAGGAAAGAGTGGCGTGGGGTGACGGGCAGTGTCGCGGGGCGGGATGGGGGTGGGGGTGTCTGTCACGCTCGGGTCGGAGTTTTGCGTCAGGCGCCGTGGCTGCCAACGCCGCCGGCGACTGGCTCGTTCAATATTCATGCCTCCAACGCGGGCAGGGCAGCGGGGCAGGTCGGAGGTCGGCGGAGAGACAGGATGCGCGGGGCGGGGGCGGGGGCGGGGCAGATCGGACGGGGCGGCAGCTGCGGGGCCGCTGAGAGGACAGCCGAAGCGAGGCAGGCGCTGCACAAGAATTCAATTTGGAAGCGGAGTTACCTTCGTTTTAGGCAGAGAGACTTGCAACATTGGACTTCATCCCAGGTCTGATCTCATGTCAAATTCGAGGCTAGTAAATTTTCGTGGAATTCTTCATTTACGTATTATCTATTTAACTTAATTTAGCCCTATAGCAGGCATCAGATTCATTTTGAGCGATTGGCATTGTTTAATATTACAGATCTGTTTAATGAGAGCGAATATCCAATTATCTATATTCATCATAACATGAAAAATTCAGTAAACATTTGAAAGTTTACAAGATTTTATAACTGACGCTCAATATTTTTCTAACAGTGTAAGAGCAAAACAGAAAATACACCAGAACAATAAAATGTTGATTTCAGTTTACTATTTTAGTATTTGGTGCAGGGGTCTGCTTTTATTGTATAGTAAGCGCAATATAAATCCCAAGGCTAGTCACCTTTTTTGCGATACACTTTCGACCCATGTGAGACCCTCAATTTCTATTTTGGTACGAACTTGGGTCCAAAACACAAAGTGTGCCTCTAAAACTATTCAGCATAACTCGGTGGATTCCACACACAACAGAGAAGAACATCGTTTGCGATAATACAAGAATGCTCTCATTTGTTTCATATTCCTACGCATTTTCAAGCAAGCACCACCTAATTGGGCATTGAACGAGCGTAATGCGGAATTATACGTTGCATTGATACATGCGATTGTGAGGGATTTATAGAATTTGAAATAATTGCGCTTTTTAAATAGTACTCGCGAAAGGAGTTCGATACACAAATTTCCGGAGCCGCGAAAATCACTTTTTCTGCCGGCATTAAACACGTGACTTCCAGACTCTTAGAAAGTTTCGCCAGACTGCCAACAAACAAAGATGAAAATCAAAAGAAGAGAAAGAATAAAGCAAGAAAACTCATTTACAGTGGGAAAGGGGAAAAAATGTGGTCTAGAGGCGCTAAGCAATTCTGAGACTTGCTACAAAATGCTAATAGGATGCTAATAGAAAAGTCTGGAAAATACTTCGTACTTAAAAACAAAGTTCTGGATTTGCATTGCGAATAATTCTTATTGCTATAATTTCTCCTACAACACGAAGTAGAATAATTTTCTGAAGTAAACATGTCAGAAAGTTAAAGATTCACAAATACTGTAGAATTATTAAATATGCATGCAAGAGAAACGCATGAATGTGAGGTAGGCTAGTTTCGAAGTAAAGTTGAAGTGTAATGAGAGGTAGCTTAGAAGTATTAAAGATGTGCGTCGCATTTTCCTGGAGTCACGCACTTTTTCAACATGCGTTGTGGCATCAAAAGCTTCTTATCATCAAAAACATTTTTTTGCCGACGCACCAAATAATCAAGATAACACAACATGTGTGGCTTCATTGAGAAAACACTTCTTACTAGAGAGATTTTTCCTTTAAAGGTCCTATATCATCATAAGGCATTATCTCATAATTCAGTTTTATGATCGACATTCCAATATTTCGATATCAGGGTTATATGATGATATCAGTAAACTTTAGCATATAGGCATATTTTGTAGGAGAGAGTGATACCGTGAATTTTGCAGAGAGTAACCTAACAACCGTTATTCAGTTGACGGAATATAGTCCTGCTGGCAGTATCGTACAAGAGCGGAGGTCAGATAGGATGCAAAGTTTATCCTTACTATATTTTTAAAGGACTAGAAAGTTCTCTTTAATTTCCACTGCAAGCACGTCTCTCACTGAATTAAGAAATCGACAAGCGCATACGCTTACATATTTGACGTACCCAATGTTTAATACATTTTGAGGAGAGAATTGATAATAATAAAACATTCAAGAAGGAAGTGTACTGATTTAGTTCTTGAGAGAGTGATTTCATTCTTCAAAAAAATAAACAGATTTTTTATCATACCGCATTTTTTCTAATTAAAAAATAAATAGAATAATATTTAAATATTTGCAAAAAATAAAATTTCGAGTAAAGGAATATTTTATTAGACATAGTTTGTGAACGAGTTCAAATACAAATTAAATTAAAAATTATTAATTGCAACAAAAAGTTACTAAGCCCAATGTTTTCTTTTCTAATCGCAATGCCAACAGAAGTAACGTAAATAAAGGTTGCTGTTCTAAATGAAGGCGGTAGCTCGAAGAGGGGCCTATGAGACTATGAGCCTTTCTTTCGGATAATGCAGAAATGAATTCTGCGCACTTTAATATACTTCCATGACAGTTTTCATTATTTTACTTCTGTTCGTTAGATTGGTAGAGAAATATTCCGTTACGTGAAGAGAGTTCTCCAGAACATTGCAATATAATCTGAAATTCAAGTGACACTTACTCGGGCAAAAGTTACTGACATTTGGGACTTATATAGGTACTTGAAGGAAGAGAGCAAACAATTTTACCAAAACGTTTTTGAAGAGTGTACTCCTCAAGAAGTGCTCACAGGGAATGTTGACAAAAATGAGTTGACAATAATGAATCTGATAGCTCAGAAGACGAACTGTGAGGTACAAAAATGGTAACAAAACACTTTATTATTTGTATTAGCAGTTTATAAAAAAGCAAATTAAATTTTAATAATATTTATAATTTACATAATTTCAATAATAAAAATAAAGTGTTCTCCAGAACGCGTGAATTTTTTCCTTACGCCACATGTTTGAAATTAAGGAGAATTTAATGACATTCATGATTAAATTAAGTTTAAAATAATTATATGTTAAAATAATATGTAATTTTCAATTAAATACACCAGCGTGTAGAATAATATAATGGAAAAATTGCAATGAGTTTTTTCTCAAAACACAATTTAGTAGTGTAGGCCCACCTATAGCTACCATCTCATTCCGTCACTTATAACAATGAAAAATTCACGACCAGAATTAACCCAAGGCGATAATCATTGTTTTTCTTAAAGGCTAAACCACATCTTCAATAATTTACACATCGATCATCACGAAAGCGAGCCATAACCCCCGCACAAAGCACCTCATCAACTTTTCGCTCGCAACATCCTCTCCGTCACTCTGTAATCAAGGAGGCGCTCTTAATGGACAAACAAGACGCAACTTTTTCTTCGCCGGGCGACCTCGTGTCTCTTAGCGACTACATTAATTTAATTTCTAGTCGGTCCGTAATTTTTTCATGGGTCGTAATTAAATCGCACTTCATCGCGCGCCCCGCCGCGTAAAGCGCGTGGAAGAGAGCGTTGTTGCTGCCGCGGCGTGCGCGAAGATGGAGAGGGAGGGGCGGGGAAGAGGGGTAGAAAGGGGCAGGGAGGGGGAGGGGAACGGGGGTGGGGGAGGCGGGAACGGGGGTGGGGGAGGGAACGGAGGTGGGTGAAGAGGGGAGAGGGTGGGGAGGGAAGGTGGGCGAGAGCGTCGTTACGTCTCAGAACG